CGGACCCAGGACCCCGAACGGTGGACCCCTGGACCCCTGGACCCCCGGACCCTGACGCCCACCCCCGCCCCCACCCCCACCCCTGCACGGGGATTCCAATGCCTGCACCTTCCCTGTGCGGGGATCCTGACCCCCGGGCCCACCTCCACACCCACCTTCGTGCTTACCCCCAACCCCTGCGCCCGACCTGGTCCCCGTCCCCACCCCCACTCCCGCCCCCTGCTGTCCCCAACCCCACCTCCCTGGAGGCGGGGGATGGTGTCCCCAGGGGGTAGTTCGGGGTGGGAAAAATTGCATTTGTGGCTCTTTGCGCCACAGGGTGCAAGCCATTGCTGCCCACCCCTCACTTTTTTTCTTGGGATTTTTTTTGGATTTTTTTTTTTTTTTTTTTTTTTTTTTTTTTTTTTTTTTTTTGGGGGGGGGGGGGGGGGGGGGGGTTTGCTTCCAGACCCAAGGTCGGGGGTGCCCACCCCTGGACCCCCATCGGAGGTACGGGGCTGGGGATGGACAATCCTGGCGGGAGAAGGTTTGGGTAACATAGTGTAGGACAGGCTCTGTACAACTAGCAGTGTGAAAGAATCAATAGTGTACGGCAGGCTCTGTACAACTAGCAGTGTGAAATAATCAATTGTAGAAGCTTGTCGAAGTAGAAGGGTTGGAAAATATATGGTAAGGGGGACCCATATACACTTGGTTGACCTGTACTGCAAGGGAATAGAGTGGGAAAGGTGGGTCGGGCATGGGAATGCTGGGGGGGGGGGGGGGGGGAGAGGGGGGGAGGGCAGGTAAAGTTGTAAATAGGTGGGATGGGAGGGCAAGGGGGAACAATCTGAAACAGGTTAGTAACTAAACTGGAACATGGGAAGGGACTGGTGCAAGTGACTTGATTGAAACGAGATGACAAATGAAGGGAGGGAGTGAAGTTTAGGAATTTTTTTTATTGTTTTTTTTTTAAACAGGTCCTTATGGTCCTGGCTCCATATCCATTCTGGGGAGCGCCAGTCCGGTTCCTTTCCACCGGCAAGTCGAGAATGAAATACATGGTGAACACCCACACGCTTCCTTCTGTCTGGCCGAAGGAACCCTGACCAGCATTGATTGCTCAGCTTGCCCAACCTCTTTTCCTCTCAGAATCTATAATGACTTTGCCAGATACTACGTATAAAGCAAGAAAGGGGGGGAGTTGTCTAGGCTGTTGAGATTATAATCTCAGTTAGTTCTTCAATGGGACCTTGTTCTTGTGTTGTGCCACTTCTTCCACACCATTCTGTTGTCCACCACTGTAGCGATCTTTCCCTGTAGAAGCCAGTCTCTTATGAATTTACATCTCTTTGTGGCTGTCCTTTCTGGTCTGCCTTTTGTCGTCATGGATATTTCTCGCCATCTGGAACGAATCTCTGTTTCCGCCATTCTCAGCAGTAAAACCCACATTTCCTCTCTAGGCAACTTTGTTCCTTCAACCGTCTTGGAGCATCTCCTCTTCCAGATTACCCAAAGCGCCAGCTCTCTGAGAAGGTGGAACCACACATCCTTGGCTCCTCTGAGATTGTTAGTGTCGTTAGATAGGAGCAGGATGTTCAGGGGGGTTGTGGCCGGGGGGAGTGATGAGAAAAGAGAGGTCCATAGGATGCGCACTTTGTTCCAGATCCATGTTGCCTCTGTGCAGTATAAGAGGCAGTGAAGTGTCCTCCACAGTGTTGTCCATGCACAGTCTGCATATATCAGTGTTGTCGGGGTCTGTGTGTTTTCTTCTCTTGTGGAGCCACTGATTGGTTGGCAGAGAGGCGCGAGCTAAGAGCCATTGCATGCTTCGAATCCTAGCCGGTCTAATGGTTAGGAATTTAGTCCACGGAATGGTTATGAGGGTCGAGGGGTCCAGATTCAGTATGTCCCTCCATTTGCTTTTGAGTCTGGGGTCTGGGTCTGAGGTCTGTAGGCCTAGATCATAGCCGAATTTGACATCGTATTCTGCTATTGTTCTCGTCTTCCCTGAGTTTCCTTGTTTCCATGTCCATTCTTTCGGGTCGAATTCTAGCTCTGAGATGCTTAGATCCGGTCGGAAGATTTTCCAAGGTTTGGACTTTGATACCCTCACTTTTCTCAGTCGGAAAGTCTCTAGCATCTCGCTCTGGGGGTCGTTGTTCTGGACTTCCATTTCATTTGTACTGTGTTTTACTACCGGGTAGGAGTAGAACTTGGATAGGTAGCCGGGTGGGTTTGTTCTAGCGACGAATCTGTATGCTCTGGTAGGCTGGGTTTGGGAGACTGGTATGCCCCTGTCCCCGGACTTCCACGAGAATTCCTCACTAAGGAGGGGGATCCACTGTGTTGGGATGCTATTTTGGATCATTGTTAAGTTATCGGAGAGGGCGTGGCAGCCTTTTAGTGTGGTGCGTAGTTCCTGATCCGTCGCCCACCGTCCTTGGTCTTCTACCCAGATGTGCTTGACCTGCCACACTCCTTTTTCTACCCACGATAACCATCTTCGGTCCCGAGGGCGTAGGGTCCAGGTTGTTCCACTGGGGTCAGTGATCCAGGGGTTGCAGAATAGCGGTTGTCTCAGGACTTCTTCTCTGTTACCAGGTGCCCCGTGTTTGCTCGGCATCATTTTGCGCCATGCTTTGATGGTGGGGCTCCAATATTTGTTGACTGTCTGCGTTGTGTTTGTGTTGGGCTGTGCAGGAATGTGTTGTGTGGGGTTTCTTTTGCGTGTTCTGCCGGACTTGATTGTCCAGTCCTTTGCCATAATCCAGAATAGGCCGTTCATGTTTGGGGGGGAGTTGATGGGAGCTAGGTTTTGATGCTGTCTAGCGCTATTTGGGTCCACGGGAGGAACTGTCTGGTGAGAATCTTGACTATCCATTTCATCTGTAGTGCTATGGATTCCTGTTTTGGGTTGATTATCCTGAGGCCCCTTTCCTGTGGCTTCCTAGTGATGTGGCTCCATGCGACCCTGTTGATGCAGGTGGTCCTGTTAGGGTCACCTGTCCACAGATAGCACCTCACCCTGTTCTTGAGCACCTTGAGGTCGTCGTCGGGGGGGGGACCAGATTGATGCCAAGTACCACAGTGTAGAGAAGATCGCTGTGTTGATAAGTAGTGCCCGTCCGATTAGTGAGGCCTGGGCGTTTTTGCACAGGGTCAGGCGGGTGATCGCTCTTGCTATCAGATTCTGGCCCA